GTCACAACAGAAACAAGAGATCACAACTTGCAACAAAAACAATAGGTCACAACAAAAACAAGAGGTCACAGCTGAAACAAGTCACAACAGAAACAAGAGATCACAACTTGCAACAAAAACAATAGGTCACAACAAAAACAAGAGGTCACAGCTGAAACAAGTCACAACAGAAACAAGAGGTCACAACAAAAAGAAGAGGTCACAACAGAAACAAGAGGTCACAACAGAAACAAGAGGTCACAACAAAAACAAGAGGTCACAACAAAAACAAGAGGTCACAACAGAAACAAGAGGTCACAACAGAAACAAGAGGTCACAACAAAAACAAGAGGTCACAACAGAAACAAGAGGTCACAACAGAAACAAGAGGTCACAACAAAAACAAGAGGTCACAACAAAAACAAGAGGTCACAACAGAAATATAACCCAGAGTTTGGCTCTAGAACAGAAACCAGAGGTCCTAACTGGAAACAGAAACCAGAGTTTGCCTCAGGAACMGAAACTGGTCACAGAGGTTGACAGTCAGTTTATTGACTCTGACCTGAAAACGGTTAAAAGTAACGTAAACAAATGTCAGCATTGTTAGCAGAATATATCCTGYACCGTTAAATTTAGTTGAACAAACCTCTTTGAAAATGAATTTAAGAAAGTCTGCAGCAGATGACCTGACATGATTGATGATGTTCCTGCAGCTCCTGAGTCTCTTCTTCATCTCGCTCTGAGAAAACTTTTCTGTCATTTTTGTTAAGGATGGTTTTCATGACATCGGCCATATTGGATCTGTTAATCCAACAATTAATCTGTATTCATCTTGATCTGAGTCTTTCTCTTTGTGTAAGAATAAATGAAAACTTGAAGATAATTAGTTTTAATCCTGTAGATGGTGAGCTGTTCCAGCAGGCTGACCTAATCCACTAACAAGATAACTGTAGATTGGACCAGATTAATGGGATTAGCTAGGAGGAGTCCAAGTTTCTGAACCGTTGAAGCTGAGTAAATGAAGCGTCAAGAAAAAGTTCTGGAGAAATAACTGGATGATTTCTGTACCGAGCAAAGGGACTACTCCTCTCAACCTCACTGATATGAACTCTGTCTGACAACATGACAGAACCACATACAGGACCTGTAAGAGAACAAAACCAGAACATGACTGGATCAGTTCAGGAGAACTGAGGTGGTCACAGGTAATCCAGGTGAGCTCGTTAACTCGGTTCTGTTTAGTTTAATCTTTTCCATGAAGTCATGAATGTGACGGAGCGACACATTCAGGCTGAGCTGAGGGAACGTGAGCCAATCCAAGAGGTTTTACCTTGATGGTTTTACCTGGAGAGGCTTTATCTCGAGGGGTTTACTTCAGATGGTTTTACCTCAATGGGTTTTACTCCAGACAGGTTTACTTCAGCTACTTTTATCTCAAGGGGTTTACCAAAGGCAGTTTTACCTCAATGGGGTTATAGTTATGGTGAGTGGGGATGGATAAAGAACCCATATGAGCGGAAGCCTCCTAAGTGGGCCCATTGCTCTCCCCAAAAAGACACTGGTCTTCAATGAAACCTTCTCGTCCCTTGGATGAAGGACACAAGGTTAGAAACACTCGTGTTCTGAGCTTCTCAGGGTCCATGAAGGTTCCCCAAGAATTCTTTTCCTTTGACCACTCAGAGACAAGCAGTGGTCTAAGTATGGCAAAGAGGTCTGTGGTTCAATGACACAGGCATCACACAGACCATTGTCATGGAGTCCCATCACCATTTTGTGGCGGTTGAGCAGATTGTGTCCAGTTAGGACTCCAACCAGTGAACTTAGAGTTTTCCTTGTCAGGGAGATGAGAGCTTTCCCAAACCTTAGATTTGGGCCGTTAATCAGTTCCCGTGCCTGTCTATGGTCAGTCAGCTCCCTCTAGAGGATTGAGTGTTGATGTCTAATCCATGCC